GGTACAACCAACGGTTGGAGTGCATGTTCACGCCAGACCAGATTGAGCGGTCGTAACAAGACGGGTCCCGCATGCGGCGCCGTTCTCATGGCGCCCAAGGCGGTCAAGGTTCTGTCCACAAAATAGGAGGAGAAGGGCGAGCTGCCCCCCCCCCCCCATCACCACCTCACCCCACCAAATGACTCGATCCCACCACCGCCACTCACCCCTCTCTCTCTCTCTCTCTCTCTCTGCCCATGGCGGACACGGCCTCAGCCACCCTCCCGCCGCTCAGACTAGATGCAGAGGTCGAGGCCTTTCTCGTCGAGGTCTTTGGCGCAGAGTACGTGACGGCCCTACTCGCCATCGCCTCGAGCCCACCCTCGCACACCACCGTCCGCGTCAACACCTCTGTGTGCTCGGTGCCCGATGCCCAGGCTCTCCTCGAGGCCGCCGTTGGCGAGCACGGCTTTGATGTTGCCGTTCATTCAGCTATCCCGGATGTGCTAGTCGTCCGCGACGCTGCGGCGGAGAAGATCATCCCGGCGCCCGAGTTTGGCCCGGTCGTCGTCGACCGCCGCTGCGGCGAGTCGGTCCTCCGCGGCGGCCATGTGTACATCCCGGGCGTCCTCCGTGCCGCAAAGTGGAAGAAGGCTGGCGATCCGGTCTCTGTCTTTGCCGAGCTGCCCAACAGTGACGGTCCGGGCCGCATCGAAGTCTTCATCGGCAACGGCACCATTGTCCTCGACTGGGATGCTCTGATGGAGGCCAAGGACGCCCGGACAGGCGGCCTTGCCGTCACTATGGACGCTGTTGTCGGCCCGCGTGCCCCCTCACTGCATGGCCTACTTTCGCGCGAGCTCTTTGCCCAGAACCTGCCGTCGACCGTCGTCGCCCACGCCGCGCTGAGCGGCGTCGCCCTCGACGATCGCACTGCCGCGCCGCTGCGCGTCCTCGACATGTGCGCTGCTCCCGGTGGCAAGACCAGCCACATTGCTCAGATCCTAGCCTCTTCGCCACGCGGCGGCCACGTATGGGCCTGCGAACGCGCGGGCCGCCGCGTCGACAGGCTCCGCGAAACCATTGCCCGCCTCGACCTCGATGCTGTCTGCACGGTCATCAAGTGCGACTCGGCCAAGCTTCTCAAGCCCCGCACCGGCTCCAGCGCTCAGCCCGACCTTGCTCTTGCCTCTTTCGACGTCGTTCTCCTCGATCCGCAGTGCTCGGGCCTCGGCCTCCGCCCCCGCTTCAACGAAACCCGCATCAACCGCGCGGAGCTCTCCAACATGGCCGACTACCAGGCCAAGCTTGCGTCCGTTGCCGCAGGCATGGTGGCTCCTGGCGGCGTCATTGTCTATTCGACCTGCACCATCGATCCACTCGAGAACGAGGGCGTCATCGCCGGCCTTCTTAGCGACTCGCCGCACCTCTCCCTCGTCCCACTCCCGCCGCACCTCTGCATCGCCCGGGAAGGCCTCTCGGGCCAGGGCCTCGCCGATCCGCTGGCTGCCCTTGTTCAGCGCTTCGATCCTGTCGCCCACGACTCGCCAGCCTTTTTCGTCGCCAAGCTCACAGCCGCCACTACCTCCGCCGCCGCCAAGGCCTAGTACCATACGCGGCAGCGACTCGGCCTCCTATCGGGCACCATGGCACCGTCTGTGCCTACCATCGCCCCCATCATATCCTCCCCCTCCTCCCTCCTCCCCCCCCCTCCTCCCCCTCATCATGAAAACCCGAGTCATCGTCGACCATGTCAGGCACCCCCATCCCCATCCACCTTGCCGCCACTCCCTCTACTCCTCACATGTGCCACTTCTCCCTTTCACGTGCTCTCATCCACCGGCCTCCTCTCCCCCTCCCCACCCCCTCACCCTCACCCCACCATGAGCCATTTCCTCTTCTTGGCAATCACACTTGGGATTGCCCTTTCTGCCGCAGCTCTACCACCGCCGAGCCATCCGCCTCCTCCGCCTCCTCCGTCAGCATGCTGGCTCTGCGGCGTCGACGGCGTGGTCAACATCGACGAGCCAACTGTCATCGATGGCCGGGTGTGCGAGGCACACGGCACCAGTCCCGTCCTTACGGGTTGCATCGCCGTACACAACACCTCGCTGAGCCTCTTGCACGTCTCAATCCGTCTTTCTGATGAATCTATGGAGCTGTGCGCCTTTAGTCCAACCAACCGCCCAGTCACTGTCTTTGGGTCGGAGGCCCAGCTCCGCCTCGACTCGGTCTCCATCACCGGCCCGACGGCGCTGCAGATGATCTCCTCAGGAGTTCCGTCCAACGGCGGCGGTGTATACTTTGATGCTAGCGCGACACACAACATCGCGCCCGGATCGTGGTCTAAAGTCACCATTGCTGCCACGACCGCCACAAACTCGGGGCCGGCCGTGTACTTTGACGTCGAGACCGTGCCCGCCAACGCACGAGCCGCGACAGATCCGACCAAGGCCAACATCGCGTACGCGAGCTCCTGCACGTCACTTTATGCTGTAGGCTCTGCGTCGCCGCGTGGCAGTCGGTCGTACATCCCGGCCGCTCCAATGGTCGACATGGGCGTTCCATCGTTCTTTACCGACCTCGAGTATGCCGACGCTCTGGGTATGGTGCCCGGCATGCCGTTTCTGCTCACAACAACCTCCATCGACGACTTTGGTACCCGCCTCTTTGACTTTGATCGGCCGATCGTCGTCTCTGGGGCAGGCCAGCCCAAGACGCAGCTTACCATCCTCAATATCGATTCGTACCGAGGGTCGTGGACAGACTTCCTGCCTCAAGTGGCTCTGCCGCCCCATCAGGCCATTGGTCCCGCTTCGCGCAACAGTCCAGGACTGATCAATGTCTCGTTGTCTGTTGACCCCACTGCATCTGTCGACCAGATGACCGTGTCGTACAGCTTTGTGCTCCCGTGGGTTCCGGACGGCTCCATCTGCAGCCCGGGCACCTTTAATCTGGCGCCCTCGTTCAGCTTCCAGTCGTTCTGCCTGCCGTGTCCGGTTGCCGACACTGATTGCGTCGTGGTTGACTTGCTCCGCAGCAACCGCTTGACTATCGATGCTGGCGCGGTCGTCATTCCGACCGCCGCCGACGTGCTCGAATCCATCATGACCAGCTTTGCTGAACAGCCGCCGGTGGAGTTTGAAACCCAGTTTGATGCCACCGCGTTTGTGCCTGATGACTTTGCGAGCAACGCCAACTCATTTCCAACGCCGCCTATTGTTCTCGCTTCATGCCCGATCCCGGAGGCCTGCCCCGCAACCCAGTGCACGACGCGGTGCACGCTCTCTGGCAACTGCACCATGGTCTGTGTCCGAGAGTCGAACACCGGGTGCGCCACAGGCTACACATCGTACCTGTGCGCCCGGTGCATGCCAAGTTACTTTCAGCGCGTCGATGGCAGCTGCCGGATGTGCAAGGGCAGGCCTTTCTATGCCATGATCCCGCTTATCGTTCTCGGTGTGGTGGGCATTCCCGCACTCGCCTTTCTCCTCTACGCCCGTCCGCCGTCGCACCGGAGCCGCGAGGTCCAGGCTCGACCTGCGCCCACCGCGATCAACGGCATGGTCTCGGTTGCGGTCTCGGCAGCCGCACCGGTCCCTACCTCGTCCTGGGTCACTCGCAACTGGGAGGAGCTGGTTCTCGGCGGTGTCGAGCTTGCCTTTGCCATCATGCTCCTGGTCCTGGACGTTGTTGAGCTATGGGAGGTGGCGCTTGCAGTGGTGAGTCTGGCCGCTCTCTTTCTCGCCATCAAGCTCTCGCACGGCACCCAGCTTCCTGCTCACCAACACGCGGGCGAGATTGATGAGATGCGCCCGTTGCTCTCTGCAGGGGACAAAAGTGATGACGAGGACGGCCTTGAAGCCGTAGGATGGGACGCCGTCGAGTTGCTCATCAAGATTGCGGCGTCGCTGCTGCAGATTCAAGCTGCGGTGCTGATGCGGCTGTTTGCTATTGCGGCCACCATTACGTCATCGTCGACTGAGATCGGCGCCGAGACGGAAGCGCCGGAACAGCTACGGGGCCTCGCTGTTGTCTTTGAGCGGCTCTCGTTCCACGTCTCGGGCCTGGAGTGCGTGTCGTCGAGCGCCATCTCGTTCGAGACTCGGTACTATCTCCAAGTCGCGATCCTGCCTGCGGTGCTGTGCGTGGTGACGGCGACGTGGTTCGTTCGCTCACGTTTTGCGAGCAGCGCCGAGCAAGCGCACCTGGCGACCAAGCGCGACGCGGCGCTTACGACTGTCTTCTACTACCTCGTTTTCCCGGTCATTGGGCTCTCGGCGGCGCAGCTCTCGCACGCGTCGCCGATCGTGGACGGCCAATTTGCCAACCCGAACTCGGCGCCGCAGTTCCAAGTCCTCACCGCCGCCCCGTGGCTTGTTCGTGGCCAAGCATCGGTCGATGGCATGACGACTGTGGCCGGGATAACCTTTGGCGTGTCGGTTGCCGGCTCGGCAATCCTGTTTGGCGTCGTGGCGTGGCGCAAACTGCGCGGGCTGAGCCTCGGCGGGCTCAGCTCGCTGGTCTCGGGCTACAGTGACGGCCTGTGGTGGTACGAGGCCGTGTTTTGGACGCGCCGGATTGTGCTCGCCTACGTGCTCTCTGTTCCGCCGCAGATGGCGCTGGAGGTTCCGCTCACACTGGCGGTCTTCCTCGCCCTCCACGTAGTGTGCGCGCCGTTTTCATCGCAAATGGCCAACGCGCTCGATAGCATTGGCCTCGCCCTCCTCGCCATCATGTACGCGTACGCCTCGACGATTCCAGCCGAGGAAGGAGTTGTCCTTGCCGCTGTCGGCAACGTGGTGTACTCGCTGTGCATTGTGGCGGGCATCCCGGTCGTGCTCGGAGTGCGGTTTCTGCTGCAGCGGCAGGCTGAGCGGGCAAGGCGGAGTGTTGCCCTTGTGGCCGAGTAAAGTGTAGTCGACCTCTATGTGGTCTTTATTCGCTGACGTACTCCTGCTCTTGCGTGGAGCTGACAGTCGAGGCAACCACGCTATGCCTCGCTACCCACAAGCAGGGCCCATGCGCGCTCGAGACGCTCCTTGGCTTCCACAACCTCGTCGACCCCACCGTCGCCGCCAACGTTGGAGGCGATCCAGGCCGAGGCCTCAGAGAGCATGAGCGCAAAGTCGCTCTTGTTGCCGACCGAGTCGTCAACCTTGTTGAGCTCGCGCTCGAGCTCCGAGACGTAGGCCTGGAGAGCGTCCATAGCGGCCTGGCGCGCCACCTTTGCGCGTTCGGCCTCTTCAAAGTCGCGCGCTGTGGCGGAGAGCTCGGCCTTGGAGTCGTCCGAAAGCAGGCCCTTGTACTGGTCGATCTTGACCGACTCGGAGATCTCCACATCGCCCTCCTTGACCACAGCCTCCACCTCCAGAATGCCGTTGGCGTCGATGATAAAGGTGACGTTGATCTTGAGCTTGCCGCGCGGGCGCGGCGGGAGCGGGAAGACGGTGAACTTGCCCAAAAGTCGGTTGGAAGCGGCAAGCGCCGACTCGCCCTCAAACACCTCGATGATGGCCTCTTCCTGGTTGTCCTCGTTGTTGTAGTAGGTCTTGGTGTGCCGGTACGGAATGGAGGTGTTGCGCGGGATGATGACCGACATCTTCCCGTTGTGAAGCTCGATGCCGAGCGAGAGCGGCGTCACGTCGAGCAGGGTGAGCCCGGAGAGCTTGGTGCCGGCCTTGGCCTCGGTGGAGAGCGAGAGGTTGGCGGCCTGGATGGCCGCGCCAGCCGCCACAGCCTCGTCGGGGTTGATACGCTTGTTCAGCTGCTTGCCGCCAAAGTAGTTCTCCAGCATGGACTGAACCTCGGTGATGCGGGTCGAGCCACCGATGAGGATGACCTCGTCCATCTCCTCGGGGGCAAGGCCGGCGTCGGCCAGCGCCGACGTCACCGGCGCGAGGCACCGGTCGAGCAACGGCTGCACGAGCTCGTTGAACTTGGCCCGCGTGATGTTGGCGTCAAAGTCCTCGCCGTCGTACAGCGAGTCGATCTCGATGGTGGCCATGAGCGAGACGGCAAGCGAGTGCTTGGCCTCCTGGCACTTGGACTTGAGCTTCATCATCGACTTGGCGTTGGTCCGCAGGTCGACCCCGTTCTCGGCCGCGTACAGCTCCACAAAGTGGTCCACGAGCGCGTTGTCAAAGTCTTGCCCTCCAAGCTGCGAGTCGCCGCAGGTGGAGCGGACCTCAAACACCCCGTTGTCCACGGTGAGGACGGTGACGTCGAGCGTGCCGCCGCCGAGGTCAAAGATAAGCAGGTTGCGCGCGGCATCATCGGAGATCTTCTCCAGGCCATAGGCGAGCGCTGCGGCCGTCGGCTCGTTGATAATCCGCTGGACCGAGAGCCCGGCAATCTCCGCAGCGTCCTTGGTCGCCTGCCGCTGGGCGTCGTTGAAGTAGGCCGGAACCGTGATGACCGCCTGGGTCACCGGCCGGCCGAGGTAGTCCTCCGCCACGGCCTTCATGTTCATCAGCACCGCAGACGAGACTTCCTCGGGCGGGATCTTGAGCGTCTCGCCGTTGAAGGAGACCTCGTACTGCGGCGTGCCGGCGTCCGAGCCCGAGACCTTAAACGGCCAGATGGCGAGATTGGCCTGGATGGACTCCTCGTCAAACTTGCGGCCGATGAGCCGCTTGGCGTCATACAGCGTGTTCTTCGGGTTACGCCCAGCCTGCCGCTTGGCAGCCTCACCCACCAGCCGCTCCGAGTTGCGGTACGCCACCCACGACGGCGTCGTCCGGTTGCCCATCCGATTGGGTATGATCGACACGCCCGAGTTTTCCCACACGCCGACACACGAGTACGTGGTGCCTATGGCCAGGCCGGACAGCAGTGAGTGCGCACAGCACCAGCCTCCACCACGCACATGTCCTCTACGCCCTGTGCCCTCCCCCCCCTCCCCTTCTTTCCCCCTTCCCCTTCTCTGGTCTCCGTACCCAGGTCAATGCCAATGGCTGTCGCCGTCGTTTCCGAGGAAGCTGCCATGTCGCGGGAGCAGAGCTTGTGACTCGGCGGGCGCGAAAGAGAGATATGCAGGGTTCAAGTGGTTGGACACCATCTGCCGGTATCACGCACTACCACCCAGTATCACCCAGTATCGGTCACCACCAGCCACCAGTATCAACCAGGATCACCCAGTATCGGTCACCACCAGCCAGTATCAACCAGGATCACCCAGTATCGGTCACCACCAGCCAGTATCAACCAGGATCACCCAGTATCGGTCACCACCAGCCACCAGTATCAACCAGGATCACCCAGTATCGGTCACTATCAGCCACCATCACCTAGTATCGGTCACCATCAGCCACCACCAGCCACCATCACCCAGTATCGGTCACCATCAGCCACCACCAGCCACCACCAGCCACCATCACCCAGTATCGGTCACCACCAGCCACCACCAGCCACCATCACCCAGTATCGGTCACCATCACCAGCCACCATGACTCGCACATGCATCCATCTCTCCCCTCCCCTACCCACTCCCTCCCCCCACACACACACGCCATCCACACGCCACACTCCTTACAATGGGCCTCCACACCTCATCCACTGCATCCGTCGCCATGGATGCTTCTGGCGTCGTCCTCCTCGCTGCGCTCACAGCCACAGCTGTGGCGGCGGCAGGCACCGCCGTCCGGGCGAGGTCGGGCGGCCGAGACGCTGGCCGTGCAGTCATGGATCGCCTGTGGGCCTGCCGCAACGCAGTGGTGGTTGGCACGGCCTCAGCATACGCTCCCGTTCTGCTGCTTATGGTCCTCGCTGCCCCGCTGGTTGTGCCTGCTGCCGCCAACCCGGCGCTGACCTGGACCCTCGGCCTGTGGCTCGTCCTCCCTCTGGTCGAGTACGCCTCGCGCGACAAGGCCGATCTCTCCCGCCGCCGGCCTTTGGTCACCATCTCGCGCTTGATCTTTGCTCCAATGGTCCTAGTTGCCGTCACCAACGCAGTCTCGTCGGCGATTACATTTGGCGAGATCGCCACCTTGCGCGATTGGAAGACGCTGGTCATCGCGCCCACCGCTGCCATTATCCCCTATGCGGCTGTCGTAGCCGGCCTCAGCCTCATCGCCTCTGTCGTGCTCACGGCCTTGCCCACACTGTACCACCGCTGGATTCCATACGCCGCCACCGCTGCCTACGCCGGGATTGATGTCCTTTGGATCGCTGGCTACCTCAACGGCGTCATGCGCATCGCTGTCGACGGGCCGCAAGACATTCCCAACACCAGCGCAGAGTGGTCGGAGGTGAAAGTGGACTTGCGCGCACGAGCCGCCCTCGTTGAGGCCTGCCTCATTCTTCTCGTCCGCTTTCTCCCGCTCGTCACGCCTGGCACGGCGCCCAGCCGGCGGCTGCTGCCGCTGAGCGAGGTGCTGCTCGAGACGCTCGAGCTGGCCCTCTTCCCCATCTTTGCTCTTATCATGCAGCTGGCGCTCATGTGCAACAACTGCGTGCCGCCGAAGAGCATGGCCAGCAATCTTGGACTTATCAGCGAGACTACCACCATCATGCCAGCCGTCATGGTACCGATTGCTGCGCTCATCGTCGTGGTCCTCGTCCTGGGCGCAAGACTACATGCCCGTGCCTCTCCCGGTCTCCATCTCGCGCTTGTCCTCCTTCCAATCGGCCTTGTATTCGGCCTTGCCGTCAGCATACTTGAGTTTAGCAGCATCCTGCCGTCGACAGCCACACACATCTCCATCATGCCGACCGTCATCTCTCCGACACACGCATCCGAGACACTGGCACACTACGCATGGCTTGGCGCCGCGGCATGGGCCGCACTCCACATCCACGCCCACATCGCCGACTGCTTCTCGGAGCGCGATGAGGACAGTGAGGACGCATAAATCGTCGCCGCCTACCGACCAGGGCGTCGCCGCCACTCTGCGGGCTTAGCCGCGCGACTGCGAGGCGCGTGAGAGCCGCAGCACAATCGCCGCTGTCTTGGCCACAGTCTCTCCCTCGAGATCAACGGTGGCTTCGTCGTCGGCGCCATCAGGCGGCGTCGCCGCCACCAGATCCAGACTCATCACCGCAGCAACTCCGAGCGCGTCTAGCAGCTCAGGCTGCGAGAGCGCACGCATCGGTGCCTCGCCCTCATCGGCAAGAACCCGGAAGAGAATGACCAGCGCGCGCCGAAGCGCAAGCGGAAGTGAGGTGGTGCGGACAAGAGCCACAACCTCGGTCGCCAGCCGGGTTCCGAGAAAGCTCTCGATGTTGGACCGCGAGCCGACTAGGGCGGCGGAGAGGACCCGCGCAGCTGCAACAGCAATGCGGCCGAGCTTGGACGGCGCATCGCCCGAGACCAGAGCAGTCATGGTGGCTACCAGGACAGCAAGGTACGGCGACAACGCGTCCTTGGCCGACTCGCACACCAGCGCAAGACCCTCGACCACCAGCAGGCCATCAAAGATCTCGTTCCACCCAATGCGCTCGGTAAAAAGCGGGCCCGAGTCCGGATCGCCTAGCGCCGACGTCGCTGTTCCGCCGGCGCGGACAAGCGCGTCGGTGTCGACGTCCGGGAGCTCAACGCCCTCGTAGTTGGCCAGAGCCTCAAGCGCCCGCGCCACTGCCGGCGTCAGCAAAAGGCCATAGGTGACATGCGAGATGACGCTCGCCGTCACGTTGGTCTCGTCCGCCGCCTGGCACGCGCACAGCGCCCGCAGCGGGCCGTCCGCATCGCCCAATCGCCCTATCGCGCCCGCCGACGCCATCGAGCTCCGCGGCGTGCTGCCGTCGACGCCTGCACCACCTCTGCCCGCCGCAGCTGTTCCCGCCGCGCAACCCGCCGCAAGCGCCGCTGCCACCGCACCCATCGGCGTCACCACCTCTGCACCCGCAAAGCCCGTGCTCGTCATGTCGGCCGCAGGCTGTGGCCCATCGGTCACGCTCTGCACAAGCTCCAGCAGCTCGGCCAGAACGCCGGCCCGGAGGTACGAAAACCGTGCCTCGCGAAGCCGCGCCAGGGCACCTGCCAGCGTCGCCCGCATGGTGAGCTCCGGGTAGACCGTGGCCATGGCCAATGGTGGGGTGGAGAAAGGAGGGGGGAGGGGGGGGGGGGGGGGGAGGGAGGGGGGCAGGTCTGGCGTCAAGTGGCTTGGCCTTGGCCTCGCGCCACGTGCTGGCGGAGAGGGAAACTTTCCGCGGACGGACCGACGGCTCTTGCTTCGTCGCCTTTGCGCTGCCGGACTTGCGGGAGTGTTGTTTGATTTGGGGCATCTGATAAGGTCACGGCCTTTGGTCATGGTTGGGAGTCAAGATCGGCGTGACGCTGGTGTCAGACTCCGACCCCGCCTCGGGCTCGGGCTCGTCAGTGAGCGGCGAGTGGAACAGCTGGGTCTCGAGCTGGGCAAGGTGGGTCTTGAGTACGCGCATCTGGGTGTTGAGCGCCTTGTCGTGCATCATCTGCTCTGTGCGTTGCTGAACAAGAACCGCATTCTGCCGCTGGAGCTCGGTCAGCCGCATTGATGCTTTCTGTCGCGCATCGTAGAGGGACTGGACCTCGAGCTTGAGTGCGGCGTGCTCCGCGGCCGACGGTGCGGCATCAAGGAGGTCGAGCAGCTCGCGATTGGCCTGCCGGGCTTCGGTGACTTGCGCCTCGAGCGCACCGACTTCAGCCTCAAGCTCAATGTTGCGGGCCTGGAGCGACATGACCCGCGCGGCAAAGACATCGCGCGGAGGCGAGCCAGGCGGCAGTGCCGCCGCAGCCTCAAGCTCCTCGATCACCGCACTTTGCTCCTCCAGTTGCGCAATGAGTCGCGAAGTGGAGGTCTGCAACTCGGCCTGCAGCTCGTCCACCGTCGCCGTAAGCGCCACTTGCTGTGAGGTCAGGACGGCGTTCTCGTGCTGGAGGCGCGCGAGTTGGTCGGCCTCGGCCTCGCTCGCACCCGATGACATGTCGCGGAGCTCGTTGGGCCCGCGCGCCACGGCAGTTTCCAGCAGCTGCTCCAGATCTCCGACGCGGGAGGCGAGCTCAGCAGCGCGGCAACGCTCGGCCTCGAGTTCGGCCTCAAGCGTACGCTCGCGCTGTGTTGCGGTGAGGACCGAGTCCTTGAGGCTCGCGACCAGGGCGCTTTCCGAGCCGCAACCGTTGCTCGGCAACGCCTCCGCGGAGCTCTCGAGTGAGCGCAACGAAGTCTCGTGCCCGCTGAGGGCAGCCTCGAGCTCAAGAGCAACGACCTCGAGCTGGCTCGACTTGTCAGCAAGCGCAGCGTCGAGGGCGGCAACTTGTGCGGCATGCTTGGTCTGGTACTCGGCATGGGTGTCGAGGAGCGCGGTCTTGAGGGCAGAGGCAGCTGCACTGGCGGCAAGTCGGCTCTCCTGCTCGACTTCAACGGCCTCGCACAGCGCACCAACCCGCGACGAGAGCTTGTCCCGCGACGCGGTAACTTGCGAGAGCCGCGCGGCGAGGGCGTCATTCTCGCGCATGAGCTTGTCGCGGGCTGAAGTGACTGCCGAGAGACGCGAGTCAAGCTGCGAGCGCGCCGCGCTATGGCGAGCAGCCGACTCGCGAGCGCGCTCGTCGGCGCGGCCGAGCTCGACATTGGCCTCGGCGAGTTGTGTCCGGAGCGTGTTGCGCTCGCGGGCAAGCTCGGCAGCACCATGCGCGTCGGCACGCGCTAGCGCCAGCTGGGCCTTGAGCTCGTCGAGTGCCGCCTCGTGCGAGCGCGCCTCGGCCGCTTGCTGCGCCAGAGTCGAGTTGGCGGCGCGGAGATCGTCGCGCTCGCGCCGGAGCGTGGCGGCCAGCCGCGCGTCCTTTTGGGCAAGCGCGAGGTCGGCGCGGACCTCGTCGAGCGCCAGCGCTTGGCTCTGCGCCTCGGAAAGCTTGGCCGCGAGCGCAGCGTTGGCAGCACGGAGTGACGACGATGACTCGGCAGCAGCAGCAGCCGACGCCCGCGCAGATTCAAGCGCGGTGACCAGCTCAGCATTCTCACGCTGCAGCGATTCGAGCTGGACAGCTTCCCGTTGGTCGCGGCGGCCTGATGCACGTGCGGCGTCGAGAGCTCCCCGCAGCTTGGCATTTTCTGATGTCAACTCGTCAACTTGCTCCTGTGACGACGCATAAAGCTCGTGGAGCCTTGCCGACTGCGAGGCAAACGCCGACGTCTTGGACGCCAGCGTCGCGCGGGCCTTTGCCAGAGCATCGCGGGTGCTCTTCAGCTCCACTGCAGTTGACGAGTCAAGGAACGACGCATCCGGCTCATCAGTTGGCGAGAGCACGTGCGGCGAGCCCTCGTGGGCAGCAAAGACCGGCGAGGTTGGCGACGGGTTGTGAGGTTTGGGCTCCGGTGTCGGGACGGCCGCCTTGCGCGGCCTACGCTTGGCGCGAGACGGCGAGGCCGAAGAGCCTGGTGCTGGTGCTGGCGGCGACGGCTGCTCTCGCGTGGCATTACTCGGCGTCATCTCGGTTGGCGTCGCATTGTCTGGTGTCGCGTTGCCTGGCGCATGGTCGGGCGTCGCCATGGACTTGCGGACACGCTTGGTCTTGCGCCGCTTGACACGGCGCGACGAGCGCGAGTGCTGCAGCTTGCCAGACGTTTTCTCCTCGTCGGCGTTGCTGGCGGTGCGGCGCCAAGCCGACGTCCGGCGGATACCATCGGCGACGCCAACGAGCGCATGCTGGCGGAACTCGTGGGCATCGTCAAAGATGGGTAGGTCAACAACCGAGTGCAGGTCCAGCGCAACATCCTCCTCGCCAGCCTCCAGAATAGCAGACGACAGCTCCGGGTCCGAGGTAAGAAGCGAGAGCTCGGCAAGGAGCCAAGGCAGGGCAAAGCCCATCTTCCACGACGCGAGCGTCAGATGAGGGTCGACAAGCGCGTTGTGGAGCTCGCGGAGGAGCACATGAGCGTCGGCGGCCGAGTCGGCAACCGAGCGAAGCCCAACGCGGAGGAGGAGGAGCGCTTCGTAGGCAAGCGAACGCTTGCGCATCAGGTCCGCGAGGTGCTGGCGGAGAAAAGCGCGGGCCTTGGACGACGAGTCAGCAACGGCAGCCACGGCCGAGGCGGTAAACGTCGAGACGGCGCCAGTGGCAAGTGCAGCCAGCCGCTTCGAGCCGCCATCGATCCAAAAGAGGAGAAAGAGGGCACCCGATGGCTGCGGCGTCGACGCGGAGACCAGTGAGCGGAGCGAGCGGACCTGCCTCGACAGCCGCTTGCTGACAAACGAGGCGAGCTTGGAGCTGGGCTCTGCAAAGAGGGCACTGTCGGCAGCACCGGCCACAACCAGCGCGTCAATGCATGCGGCGTACGACCGCAGCAAGTACTCGAACAGATCGCGCGGGGCAGAGGCGGCAGCGTCGACGCGGTCGACGCCACGGTCACCCACACCGGCACCGCCGGCGGCCGCGGCGTACGACGCAGTCGCCTTGGCACGCGAGCCGAGGAGCGAGGCGAGCCAGACCAGGCCCGAGACCTGTGCGGCGCTGGCAGGCGCGGCGGCTGCATCCAGCTCGGCAGCCAGCTCGAAGAGCGTGTGTGCAGCCGTCGCCGGCGGCGTCACCGCTGGGTCAAGGAGCTTGGCCGACAGCGCCTCGGCGGCACGCCGCGACGGCGGATGCGGCGACGGCACTGCGCCGCAGAGGACAGCCAACGACATGAACGAGGTGACCCGTAGAGCGCGGCGTGCAGTGGAGTGTCAGCTAGTTGAGAGGCGGGAGCGGGAGCGAGGGCGGACGTCGGAGGTTCGCCGCCAGCTGGTTACGCTGGCCGAGCAAATGTGGCGGGAGAAACAGAGCAGGTCAGGAGGACAAGGGGGTGAGGGCTGGACAATTGAATGTATGCTATATATGCATGTTTTTATTGCATTTCTATCAACCAGTCCCTGTGGTGCAGTGGCAGCACGTATGTTTCCGGAGCATGAGCTCCAGGTTCGATTCCTGGCAGGGACTAGCCATCATTTTTTTTTTGCCTTTGCCCCGACCCTCCACTCTTTCCTGCCAGCCAACTCGGCTGATCCCTCGCTCCCTCTCCCCTTCCCTCCCCCCAACTCTGGACATAACTGCTGCCAAGAGACGCCACGTGACGCTGCACTGTAGCAGCCATGCCGCAGCGCGGAAGAACATCACCACGGTCGCCGCCTCTCTCACCTGAAGCAGGCCCGCGGCCTGCGCTGCGGCCGCTTGGGGCACGCGGCCTGCCGCCGCCGCCGAGCAGCCGTGAGCGACAGAGCCAGGTCGGTCTTCGCAAGCCGCTGCGGATGGAGACACCCAAGCAGGTGCACATTCCCGGTGCTGACGAGGTGCGCAAGGCGGTGGAAATCAAGGCCCGAAAGGCTAGCGAGACTACCTCGGTCCGCAAGAGCAAGCGGGTGCGGGTGCTGGAGCTGCCGGCGCCCGCGACCAACCCGAAGGACGCCAGCAGGGACGAGATCGAGACGCTCGAGATGGCGCGCGAGGTCGACGATGCTCGTGCGTTCCGGGCTGACCTCAACGAGTGGCTCCGTGGCATCGAGACCGAGCTAGCAGTGTCGCAGTTCCGCCCGCTGGCGCGGCGCGGCGCGCTGACAGCCAGCGGGCCGCACGAGCCGGCTCACCTCGCGCGTCATCTGCAGGTGAGCCTCGCCGAGCTCCCCACACTGGATGCCAGCACCATGACGAGCGAGTTTGTGCTGCGGACGGTGATCCGGGCGCATGCGGGAGTCAATAGCAGTGGTGCTGTTCCGTCCGACGCCGAGGCCGGCGTGGTGGTTCGGCAAGTCGGCTTCAAGCCCTCGCTCGACCCCGAGCTGAAGGAGAGCTCGATTGTGGCGAGCGTGGGTGGCGAGACGGTCATTATTGTTGACTGTGCGTCGCGTAACGTCGTCAAAAAGTGCCGGCCCGCGGCTGACGCGCCGCCGGGCATGCCGCGCGAGAGTCTCGCGGCGCTAGCGTGGACAGTCCTACCTGCGGCCGATGAGCGCATTGTGCTCGCGGTCGGTGGCACACTGGGCGTCATCTACCTTCTTGCGCCTGATCTCAACGTTCTTTACGAGGCTATTCGGCTGGGAATCGACCACGGCATTACTGCGCTTGCCTTTCATCCTGTCAAGTCAGCGTGGCTGTTCTCAGCCTCGGCCTCGGGCGTCGTCCTCCTGCACGACGTCGGGTGCCCCGGACCGTCGGCCGAGGCGTATCCGCCGACCACTCTGGCCTCGTTTTCGTGCGCCGGGCGCGGCGGCCTGCACTCACTCGCCCTCTCGCCCATGCACGACATGCTGTTCGGCGCCGGCGCCAACGGCAAGCTCCACTGCTGGCCGCTGGGTGAAGAGCTTGATCAGGTGCGCAACCCGCGGCCGCGGTGGCTGGAACACTCTACCCGGACCCGGCTCTCGTCCAAGACTGCGACTGTCCATGGCTTTCACGCTCGGGTTCATGGCGGGCCGCTGGCGTTTGCGCTCCCTCTCTCGGCTCACAGCATCGCGGTCGCTTCGGCAGCATGCCCACTCGTCGACGTCCTCGTGGCCGGCTTCGCCTCGGTGGGAGAGCCGGGTGGACTCGGCTCGGATGCAGAGAGCGAAGGCAGTGATGGCGACGAGAGCCGGAGCAGCGAGCCAGTGCCCGAGTGCAGCGATGTGGTGAGCCTTGAGATGAGGGCACTTCTCGAGGTGCCCGAGTTTGGCCAGGGCCTTGGCGCGCTCTCGCCGTGCGGGCGGGTGCTGCTGGTGCCACAGGGCCGAGAGCTGGCGCTATTTGACGTCTCAGCATTTGGCGAGCTTGTACCCGGTGAGGGCGGAGTAGCTCATGCCGAGCTTCCGACAGCATTGGCTGTGGGCACGCTCGCATCCGAGGCTGTTGCTGCGCCACTGCGGCATGCAACAGTCTCACTCCACGGGCGATACCTGGTTGCAGCCGGCGAGGGTAACTCACTTTATGTGTGGGAGCGTGTGGAGAAGCAGCAGTAGAGCCAAATCAGGCGCTAGTGACTCGCGTGAGCACTACCGTGTGGCCGGGTTCGATAGCCGAGGCGACCGGATCGAGTGGGAGGTCGGTGAGGATGAGGCCTGCGGCAGCAGCCGCCGCAGTAAATAGGGCGTAGGTCTCAGGCTGGCGCATGGTCGAGGCAATGAGGGCGTACTGCGACAGCCCGTCGACAAGAAAGGCAGCGAGGACAGCGACGAACGGGTCGACAATGGTCGGGTCGTAGACGCAGTCTGCAGCGATGAGGACGTCGGCGTGCTGGCCAAACTCGGAGACCATAGCGCCGGCGCCGGCAGGCGTGGCGGCGTCGCTCCAGTCGAGGAGCGCGCAGTCAACGGTGCCGGCCATCCCGTTGAGGGCCACGTTCTCGCGCAGCCGATCAAGGACCGGTGGCACGCCATCGGTGAGAACAAGTCGAGTCTCGGCCGCTAGAGCGTTGCGAAGGAAGAGGCCCGTGAGGCCGACGCCAGCGCCGAGCTCAAGGACTGAGGCCGGGGGTGGGTCTAGCGGGACGGCGTCGAGATAGCGGGCGAGGACGACGCCCGACGGCCAGAGAGCCATGCCGACACCCTCGCCGTACGACGACGAGACAGTGACGGCAACGACCGAGGAGCCCAGGACCAGATCGGCGGTGGTGTATGGCGGGCCGCCCGGGTTGCGCAGGAAGAGCCGGTGGAAGGCCTCGCCGTAGTCGTCGTCGCCGCGCGGTGCCATGGTCGCCTCGACAAAGGCCATCATCAGCGCATCCGGCACCACTGAGCCCGCGCCTTCAATGGCACCCACCAGCCGCTTGAGCAGTAGCCGCCGGTACCGCGCCGATGCCGGTGCGCGCTCCGTCACCAGCGCCGCCGTCACCAGGTTGTCGGCCATCCACGCCAGCGCCGCGGGCTCGCTCAGCGCGAGTGCCCACTCGGCGCCTGCCTCCGCCTCGACTTCTGCCAGCAGCTGCGGCACCGGGCGGACTGCGAACACGCCCTGCCGGAGCAGCAAGAGCGCCTTGCACGGCGTGTAACTGTCGCTGTCCATGGGTGAGGTGCGGCCGGCCACCGGCAGCCGCCCGCCCACTCGGGTCGACCGGTCTGAACGCCACACGGCGGCTGACGGCCTCGCCTGCTGGGCTCGAGCTTTACTACACTCCAACCCTGCAACTAAAGACGCTGCGAGAGGGTGACGATGGACGAGTTGAGGTTCTTCATCCGCTGGATGAGGGGCGACGGCGGGACCGAGGGCGGGGCGGGGGAGGCGGGCGCCGGCGAACGGGGCTGGTCGTCGTACCCTGACGACGCGCTCGACTCGGAGCGCGATGCGGGGAAGGAGGACCACTCAGAGGCGGCATCAGACAAGGCGAGATCGGCCGGCGAAACAGCAACGGCGGACGGAGCCGAGTCGCTGTCTGCCGAGTACTCTACATCCGACAGCGAGTCGTCGGCAGCTGACATCGACGACGACGACGGGGTGATTGTCGGGGAAGGGACAAAGCCGACGACCCGCGAGGAGGCGCGTTCGCGGGCAGCCACCGAGCTCCAGACCTTGAGCTCGACAAGAATCGAGGTAGTACCACTGAGCGATGCCAGCAGTTGGCGGAGCTGGCCCTCGGTGGAGAGCTCGATCTTGAGCGCTGGGCGATCGGCGGGAATGAACCAAACGGCAAGGACGTTGACGGGATCAATGCCGAGCGCGAGCGCGGCCGACCTGAGGAGCATGTCGTACTTGCTGGTGGCGAAACTCCACGCCGGCAAGTCGATGGGGACCACCGTTGCCGTGCCGGGCGGCCCATCGGAGCGCCGTGCGTAAATGGTGAGTGTGCTGGGCACCGAGTCTTGAACCGGAGAGCTCGGCGGTGAGAGTTCGGGCAGGCCGCCAAGTTGGTGGGCAGTGGAGACACGGAGGCGAGGCGGGCGCGGCGGCGGGCTCATCACACTGCCCGTCACCAGCGACTGGCGGCGGACAAAAGCGCGCGAGGCCAAGAGGCCGGTGTGCGATTCCTGGCGTGCGTGCGGTGAGCGCGAGCGCGAACGCGAACGCGACAGATTGGCCTGATCGCGGCCGTCGTCCGACTTGGACCCGCTGTTGCGCGCGGCGAGCGAGGCCAAGAGCTGCTGGTCGACGCTCTGGTTGGAGCGGTATGTTTGCCACCAGTTGATGTCTGAGCGGACAAACAAGTTCTCGACAGAAATCTTGATGGTGTGGTCTGAGGTGTCCTTGAATAGCGGATTAGCCTCCCAGCAGCAGGTGTAGGCCTCGACGGCGGCGTTGAGGTGCTTGGCGCGCTGATGGGCAATGCGCAAGACTGCCCACGAGTCGATGTCCTCCGGATGGAGCGAAAGGACCTCAATGAGGTCGTTGAGGGAGATGACGCCGAGGCGGACGGCCGAGGCGGCTGTGACCGTGGCCGACCGGGCGTGGTCGGGGCGAAAGAGCGCCATCTCGCCAAAAAACGAGCCCGACGAGAGGGTGGCAAAAAGGAGAGAGTGATCGGCGTTGGTGACTTGGACCACGCCCGAGTAGATGAGGAAGAGCTCCGAGCCGGTGTAACCTTCGCGGAGAATGACGTCGCCGGCCGACGCAGCCGAGGTTGTCATGCGCAGCAGCGTCTCAGCGACAAAACTCGGCGAGACGCCGTGGAAGAACGCGTTGGAAGCCATCTCATGCTCTTTGACGTAGAGCGAGACGGTGTTGCGGAGGCGGGCCGAGAGCTCGGTGAGAATGGTCTTTTCATCGTGGGCGGCTTGCCGCGACTCCCAGGTTCGGTAGTAGTGTTCTCGGATGTCGTCCTGGATACTTTTGGGCAACGAGCGGTACTTCATGTACGCATTGACCGAGTCGAGGCGGTCGTTGAGCGGCGAGGACTCGAGCCTGTGGACGAGCTGCGACATGGCACCGACCGAGTATGAGAAGAGCGAAATGCCGAGGAACATGGCAAAGATGATAAAGACGCGCTCCTCCGAGTTGGTCGGCACAATGTCGCCGTAGCCAAGCCCGGTCACGGTCATGATGGCCCAGTAGAGCGAGCCGATGTACTGAGCTGCGGTCGAGGCGTGCCGCAGGCCTGCGTCGTCGACCCAGGTTCTTGCCGACGCGCCTTGCGAGGTGGCGACGTAAAACCAGAAGCACGCCGCGAGGTGGGCAAAGACGAGCATGGCGATGAGGAGCTTGAGCAGACGCAGGTAGGCCGAGTTGAGGTTGAACCGGAAGCGCCACTTGCGGATGACCCGCGAGATGCGGACAAGACGGAGGAGGCGGAGGAGACGAATGAGCTTGAGCGTGCGCACGGTCTTGGAGAGGCGCCACACGTCACGATCCGAGTTGGATGGCGAGACAAAAATGAACATGAGCAAGTCAAACGGGATAGAGGAGATGGCGTCGATGGCGAACCAGGTCTTGATGTAGCGCTTGGCAATGACGTCGACGTTGGTGATGAGGTACGGTGGTGTGACCGAGTCGTCGAGAACAGCGGTGACAAAGTTGGCGACGACGTCGACCACAAACACAAAGTCCATGACCGACTCGACAACAAAGAGCCAGATCGGGGCATTGAGGGCAAAGCATACGCGAAACGGCGTGACCAGCACGTTGTAGACGAGGATGACGACAATGACAATGTCGATGCAGCGCCGGGTGAGCGACTTCGGGTTGATGATGTACCACGGCTTGAACCCGGTGCTGGCCGGGGTAGGTGCAAGCGTACCATCAGCGGCACCACTCACCTGCGCAACCATGATCTCGGGCCTCACCAGGAGCAACTCGTCATCTCCGGGCGGGAGGAAGAGGAGACTCTCGCCGGGCGTACCACGGTGGTCGCCGAGGCCCGGCAGCGCAACAGGCGTGCCCGCCTCCAGCTCGCCGCCCGACGGCGAGAGCGAGCCGCCCGACGGCGAGAGTGCGAGCCCGTACGGCTCGGGCTGCGGCGAGAGTGCGAGCCCGTAAGGCTCGGGCTGCGGCGAGAGCGAGTCTGCGCTCAGCCCACTACCGCTAGCTGCAGGCATCGCTGCCAACGGCATGCTCCCGCCGCCAGACAGCACCCGCCGCCGCCGCCGGTCGAGAGGCGAGCCGACGCCTACATACACCTCGGCAGCGTCAGGCGAGGGTGAGCCCGAGGCCTCGAGCCTCTCTTCGGACGCCGAGCCACCAAGCTCGAGCATTTGAACCGAGCGACCAGGTACGGTGGACTTGGCCATGATGGAAGGGGTGAGGTGAGGTGAGGTGAGGTGGGGGTGGGGGGGGGTGGGAGGCAGTCGCAGTCGCAGTCGCAGTCGCAGTCGCAGTCGCAGTCGCAGTGGCGGACGTTGCGGCGGAATGAGTCGGAGCTGCGGACAGCCGCCGACGGCAGTGAACAGTCGGACTGGGCGTAGCTCGCCGGCCGGGGAAGTCCACCCATAGCAAGCCTGCCCACGCACGCACGCACACAACTCTTTGCATGCGGTGGTTGAGCGTGGCGCGCAAGAGCAGGGCTGGGTGGCGGGCGGCATGGCGTGGCATGGCTGGCGTGCCGCGGATGGGGGTGTCGCTGCGCGAGGTGAGCGCGGCGTCCGAGGTCGAGTCCGGGCTTGCGCTGCAGCGGGCGGTCGCGCTGGGGCTGGACGTGGTGGACACGGCGTCGAGCCACGGGCTGGGCGCGTCGCGCGGGCCGCTGGAGGAGCTGTCGCGGACGGCGGCGCCGGGCGTGGTGCATGGGATGGAGTTGATGGCGCGGGCGGCGCTCCCTGCGCCCGGCACGACCGAAAGCGACGCCGCGGTGGCGGCCGCGCTGGAGGCGTGCCTGACAAGCGCGAGTGAGACAGTGCGACAGCCCAACGTGGTGCTTGTCGAGCCACCGCCCCTGCCTGAGTCGCGGGCGACGCCGCTTGACGCTGGCTGGCTCCTCCAGCTGCATGCTGCGTATCGCTGGCTCGACGGGCGGCCCGAGGTCGATGCCTACGGCCTCGCGCTCACGCCTGACCACGTCACCGGCCTGGCATCGGCCGCATCGGCCGCGGGAGACCGCGAGCTGGCCTCGCTCCTTCCGAGTGCTGCGTACGGCTCGGCCTTCTCGCACGTCGTCGTGCCAGCCACGGTCTCGTTCCTTCACCACCGCGGCGGCGCCATCCTCGCTGCACTCGCATCGCTGGTCAAGCTCCGCAAGCTCACGCTTGTCGGCACGTTACCGCTCGAGGGCCTCGAGCTTGAGGTCTCGCCCGAAGTTCAGGACGTGGCCGCAAGTGACCGCGAGGCGTGGCGCGAGCTCGAGGCGGCGGCTGCTAAGCGGTTGCAGGACGCCGTCAACCGGGCCATCCATCTCGAGCTTGCGGCAGACAACGATGCAAGTGACGACGACTCGCGGCCGGCGCTAGCGCGTGCCTTGGTGGCCTCGCTTGACTTTGGTGCACTACCTGGGCCGCGGGCGTGGAACGCGTTTGCCCGCCTCTCGCTCGCGCCGGCGGTAACCGAGGTTGTCCGTGGCGGGAGGGGGAATCCGGCTGGCTCGTCGTGGGGCGTGGCGTACATGCTTGCGATGCGCAACATGGCCCACGCGCTTGAGGAGCTCTGTGCGGTCTCATCGTCCAAGCGGGCGGTGACGCTGAGCACAACGGCTGAGCAGGTCCTCGCCTCGCTTCGCCACGACTTTGCCGACGAGCCGCAGGCGCATCTTGCGCTCAACCTGCACGGCGCCTCTCTGGCGCGGCGGCTGACGATGCTCGTCATCTGTGCTCGTCGCTACGACGTAGTCCTCGGCTCCGCCGCCAGCCTCGATGCTGTCGAGGAGCTCGCCGCAGCCCACCGCGACGCCGAGGCGCTCGACGGCCACCTGCCACCGCATGTCGCGCAGGACGCGCTCGCCACCATCATGGCATCGGTCGCGCCGGCTGCCAAGACCCGTGCCTAGTTTACGGCCACGCTCCAGGTTCCGGTTGCATAATCCTTGGCAAAGGCCACCCTAGCGACGCCAACGTCCGAGTCGGCCGCGCCATACCAGACGATAAAGGTGTCAGCCGTGGCCGTCGGTGCGCTGGCCAAGACAAAGATGACATTTGGCGTGAGAGCCTCATTCGGCAGGACGCCCTTCTCCCACGCCTCGGTCGAGACGAGCAGCGGCGCGTTCGAGCGGGCTAGGACCTTAGTTGGATCGGCCGAGTCGAGAATGGCCCAGCCCGGTGCGTACCGCAGGTCGCAGCCCGACTTGGGCGAAGGCATGCAGCCGGCTGCGCGGACGGGGTGTCAGCCGCCGCAAAGGCAGCAGCAGTGGACAAGGCAACAACAAGAAGAAAAGCTCCTGCTTGGAGCGGTTGTGAGGGCATAGAGCCACGATCGCCAGCGCTAAACAAGGCCAGGACAGACTGTCCTCGGTTGGAGAGAGAGAGAGTGAAAGTGCTCCGTGCGTGCCTTCAAACCCGGTATTCAAGCTCGATCTCAGCCGTACAGCCATGTACGAGCGCAACAGACACACACACGGGATGTGTACAACTTGATGTACCCGTAGATGGGTGTAAGTGGCTCGGATGACTTTGTGCGAGGATGGTGGTTGTTGCAAACGGCTCGACGGCTGTATTGTGTTCAGTCAATTATATATAAATGTAAAACTGTAAAAATATAGTTTTCATGCTCAATTATAAAATGTTGTAAATATATGTATTATTACTGGTTGTAATATGTAATAGTAGTATTTTTACTGTTTTTGTGTCCGTTTTTGAATGATTTATAACTTTGGTCCTACATGTTGCGTTTCAGAGCCATGCCACGGGAGATAAGCAGAGTCATGGTCATCGCCTCGCTCCTACCACCTCCTCCTTCGACACCGCCGCCTCCACCATTTACTCGTTGCTCTTCTCTACACCTCGTGCATCGTTCCAGCCATCAGCAGTGGCTACAGCCGCTGCAATCATCCACACAATCTCGAGCGGCAAAATACCGAGGCCAGAATCGGCCTCACGGCGCTTGGCGATGATGAGCACAGTCTCAATAGCAGCCCGAACAGGCAGGGGAAACATGTGGTGACGCTCCGGCCGCCAGTGAACCCAGCCCCAAAGCGGAATCTTGTGGAGGCTCGTCGTCCGAGAGCCAAAGTGCGGCCGAACAGCAACAAGCAGGACCGGCGGCATGAGGTGTGCGAGCACGGCCATCGATCCAATGTACGGCCCGGGAGGAAGCCATGGACGGAGCTCGCGCGACTCAGTGGCAAGCTCGCTCCGATCGATTTTTTGCGACGAGAGCGAGACAATCGAGCCGTCGCCGCACAGCGTGCGAACGTCGTCGGTCCGGGTGTCGAGCACCCGCACCCGCCAGAAACCGCAACCCGCGCCGTCGGCAAAGACAAGCGTCCGGGTATCGCCCACGCACTGGAGACTCTGCACTAGTGCTGGATACTCGAGCAGGACCTGGGCTCCGCGCCCGTCGGCGTGGCCGAGCGCCGGGCCACTCGGCCCGGCAACAATCGTAAACGGTGCGGCAAGCGCCAGTGGCTCCGCCGATGCCAGTCTCGTGCCCAGCACGGCGTAGTCGGAAAAAACATACACCCGCTCGTCGACGAGCGTGACGTGAGAAACGTGCATGAGATGATCTCCACTGTCGAGCGTCACTGCAGCGCCAGACTCGAGATCAAGCGCTCGGACAGAAAACGCCGCGGCATCCGAGACGAGGACGGTGCGTGCGTCCGGCGCGGGCCAAGCCATACCCGAGGCAGACGCCCAGGTCGGCGCCTCGCCATCTACCACCTTGACGGCCTTGCTTGAGCGGAGGAAGATGCCCTTACCGGCCTCCTTGCGCCCGCTCACCCGGCTCAACGCTTGCCCGGGAAGAGTAGACCGGGCGATGATCTGGCCGTACTCGTCGCCAACCCAGGCGTGAACGCACCCATCCTCGGCCGGCCGAATCGCAAACAACGCGCCGTGGCACCTGCCTGCAACGCCACCGACCTCCACCAGCTCGCCGCCCTCGCCCAGCTCGAGCATCCGCAGCGAAACGACCGAGTTCGCCTGAAAGCCCAGCGCCTTCAGCGGCAAGTGCGCCACATACACACTCTCCCGCAGGCCGTCCAGCACCGACGGCCCGTTGCAGATGGTGACCACCCGCCCGTCCAATGGCGCTATGTCCAGCACTTCCCACCCATACCCGACCTCGTGCCACACACACCCACTGCTCGCCATTCCTTTCGGTGGAGACAAGCTGCCGCCGAATCCGCCCCCCCCCCCCCCCCACCACACACACACATACACTGTGAGCGCAGCACTTCAATGTCAACGCCCATGCTCCTCCTTGTTCTCTGACAACTTCTACAACAACCTCTGCCTCTGCTCAGAACATCAGCTTCTTGACAGGCCCAGCGTCCTCACCATCATCGCCGCCTTCGATCGCGCCGCCTGCAAGACCTTTGGCACGCTTGGCCGGAGACTCGGCCATGACCACGGGCGAGGCGACAGCGCGCTTGCCATTGGTGCTGCTCGATGCGGCGCTGGTGTCCATGCCGATGGCGCCCGAGGCCTCGTCGTCCGAGTCAAAACCAAGAGCGGCCTCGCGAGCTCGGGTGCGGGCCGACTCGGGCAGCGGCAGCTCGCTGATAGGCAGCGGCGGCGGAGAGTTGGTAAAGTACGGGTGCTGGAGTGCCTCAGTGGCAGAAATCCGCGACGCCGGGTTGTAGGCGAGCATGGCCACCATAAGATCGACGGCGTCCGCGGGCGCCGAGGCCACAACCTTGCCGAGAGCGATGCCGTTGCTCGGCTCAAACTCGACAAAGTCCGGCAGCTCCGAGACACCGGGCCAGACCGCGTTGTTGACCGTGCCCAGGATCGCAAAGATGCACGAGAGCTGGTCAAGGTCGGTCTCGCCCTGGAACAGCGGCGCGCGCATGTAGAGCTCGGCAAAGATGCAACCCATGGCCCACATGTCGACACCTGCGCCGTACGCCCGCGCACCAAACAGCAGCTCGGGTGCCCGCCACCACCGCGTCGCCACCTGGTGCGTCATCCGCCGGTTCGGCGAGCCGTACATCCGCGCCATACCGAAATCCGCAATCTTGACGCCCTCGGTCGCCGAGACCAGCAGGTTCTCGGGCTTGAGATCGCGGTGGAGGACCCAGGTGTCATGCATTGCCGCCAAGCCCTCGAGTGTCATCTTCATGTACGCCTTGATCTCCGGCGTGCCGAGTCGGAGCGACGGGTCGCGCACAATCGCCTCCAGATCGGTCTCGCAAAAGTCCATCACCAGATGAATTCCGCCGCGATGCACAAACACCTCCTGCAGCGAAACCACATGCGGATGCCGCAACTCCTGCAGCAGTCGGATCTCGCGTACCGCCGAAAAGTTGACTCCTTCCCGCGCGTCTCCCTGATTGATCCGCTTGATAGCCACCGTCTGTCGCAGCCCCGCGCCACCGCCGCAGCATCGCCCCGAGCCAGCCCCAAGCCCAAGCCACACCCATTCCCCACCATGAGCCACCCGGCACCATTCCCTAACCCCCCCCCCCCTCCCTCCGCCCCCGCCCCGCCCCCATCCCCGCCCCTGCTCCCCCCGTCCCCCCTTCCCCCAACCACCTCCACCCGTACCTTGCCGTCCTCCTTGCGCCGCGCCCGATACACCACACCATACTGGCCCTTGCCCGCCTCGCTCAGCTTGTCATACTTGTCCATGCCGCCGATACCAACTCCTTGCCAGTCGCCTAGTCGCCAACCCCAAGCCCAACGCCCGAGACAACTGTACCCCTCCCGCGGTGCTGGTCCTCACCGCTCGAAAGCGGCTGGGTTGAGAGATGGCGTGCGA